ACTGTTCCCAGAATCTCGATTTTGCTCTTATAGAGAATATGACTGCAGTCTGAACTTTGGATACAAATTTTTAAGCTATAAAAAAGTACTTCAAAACTGAAGAGATAAAATACAAACACTGAGACAAATACCAAGTAAATCTATAGTCATTTTAATTACTAGGGCTTCATTAATTTTGGAACTCTCTTCTGTTTATTACATTCATATCCAATTAATATTTAATACCTGCCCATGTAGTAGTGAGGCTTCTTGGTCTGCCTGGTTTTGAGTTTGGGGTATTTTTGTTTGTTTGTTTGTTTGTTTGTTTGTTTTTACTTTGTGGTAAAAGTAAGTCTTTCTTTATCCTCTTTCATCATTTTTGTTTGTTTCCTTTATGGTGTTGATTTGTTGATTGCTTTAGTATTTTGAGTAGTTGTTTTAAAATCATTCATACCAGATTTCTCTTTATTTGTAAAAATTAGATTTCAGTAATCTTTACAGTTTCTTCAATATATCAAATTCCATGACTCAAGGATTTGATAAATAATCATGAGAACGGGCTTTTGAAATTCTCTTAAAGGTTACTGAAAGAGAGGGATAGGAAATTTTTCCTTTTTTTCTTCTAGTGTCATTTATAAATGCATGGCACCAATGTGAATTTGAATGTTCCTAATGTTTTAATATGAATTTTAATGGGATGGCTGTAGTCGTGCTAGAATTGGCCAATAGCTGTAGGGAGAAAAGAGTGTTGCCTGAAGATATACCCTACTTCCCCCAGTCCTGGGAAGGGTGTTCCTGTGACTCAATGTGCAGTAGAAAGATGAAGCAGAAGAGGCAGAGGCTCTGGGCTCCCGGCATGCTGCAGGCGATGTGAAGGCCCATCTGGAAAGGGCTTTGCTGGAATGGGCCAGTGGCAGGTGTGAGAGATAGGATGGCCCTCTCTGAGGATGTCTTTCAGAGGGAGTTGGGGTAAAGCTGTGTCTCTCTAAATAAGCCAAATAAACCAAGAGGCTGGGGGTTGGGGATGAGAGAAAGAAAGGAAGGAGGAGACAAGAGATGAAGTACAGAGTAGAGCATGAAGGAAAGAAAAAAAGAAAAATGGAAAGAGGAAGGAATGAGAGAATGGAATGTTTTAATCCACTTTAGCAATTAAAGACTCTACAAAACCCTGTAGTATAGAAGTTTCATTCTTTTAATTCTTATTTTGGTAAATAATTTCACCATGAAACCCACTTTTTTTTCATGGAAAATGCGGGTGTAGACATGTAGTGAACAGGTGTAGTAGAAGGAGGATGTAAAACCATTGTGAGGGCATTTAGATTTACAGTGATCCTTAGGAATACTTTTTGGTTTATTTTAATCCTATGATTAGAACAAATTTGTAGTCAAATAATATCCAAATTTGGGGAAACTTGTATATTATGTATACTCACCCCTGCTCTTCTTATAATCCTATTTCTATTCTTTAGGTCTGTATAAGTTTCATTGTGTCTGTGTCTAGAAGAAAATTGTGTGCACTGTTCATTAATTAAGCACAGATGTATAGTTTACAATAATTTTTAAAAAAAAAACCTTTTAAGAAAAAAAGTATTAGTAAGAATGAAGGCTAACCTACTGCTTGGCAATGCAGGTGTTCCTAGAAGGACTAAATAGTTTGCTTCTTCTGGATAATTTAACACAGTCTATACATGTGTATTAGGCAACAGAAACATTTATCTGAGAAAACCTTAAATATTCCTAATAAAGCTATTTGCTCAATTGTCCTGGGGTGTCCATGCTGTAATGAGATTTTGGCCAAGAAGGGCAGAGGTTATAAGTCCTAGTATTCACCCAGATCATCTTGAACAAAGTACGTACCTTTCTTTCACTTTTCCTGCATGTATTAAATATATCATTCATACTTAGTCCCTTATAGTGTTTCTTCAGTGTGTGAGGATTAATGAGATATTCTAGCAACTGCTTGTTAAATCTTGCATTTTCTGGAAGTTTAACTCCCTTTTATTAAGGTCTTTCAGTTGTGCTGAATTCTAATAGTATGAGAAATGTTTTATATGAAAAAAAAATAGAAAGAAGATGAAAGACTGATTTGTTTATAGAACCCTGGTGGGAAGGATCCTGTATGTGCTGGAGGGACAACTTTTAAAAAGGACAGGGCTTGTTAACGACTTACCATTCTTTGCCATTACTCTGCATCTATATCAGCAAGAACTCTTTTTTGACTTCCAGATGCCTGACTTTGACCAGAATAATAGGCAAGGACTGTGTTAAGAAAAGCTATTCTTTGGGTTATAAAATTTGATTTTACTAATTACTTTCTTTTTTTT